TAAATTATTTAAAATTTAAAAAATCCACATAATCATCTTTTACATGTGGATTTTCCACCTAATATTGAAAATGTAAAATAGTCAATCACTTAGCAAAAAAATTAGCTACATCAACATTTAACTGACGGAAAGACAAAATGGAAAATTAAAGTTGAAGGACGTTTTTGGTACTTTCTAAAGTTTAAGGATGAATTGGTTAAAAAATAAAAGTCGAGGGACCAATTCAAATATTTAACCTAAAAAAATATGTTAGCCACGTTAGCAACATTATTCAATTAATCCTTAAATAGAAAAAGTTGAAAGTTGACATCCTTAAATAAAAAATGTTGAAAGTTGACATCTTTATTTAAAAATTGATAAAGTTAATATTTTTATTTAGAAAAAAATTAAAAGTTAACATCTTTATTTTTAAAAAAATAAAAATTAACATTCTTATTTAGAAACTAAAAAAATTAATATTTTTAAATAAAAAAATATAAAATTGAAATCCTTATTTACACCTTTACTCCAATTTATCGGAAACCAAGATAACGTAGCCCAATAAAAGAGAAAGTGTTGACCGGAGAGTGCGAAAAGCGGGTGCCCCTAGCATTGCTCATTTTGCATAGAGGTTAGTAGGAACACGACAAGATGGAGACCTTGTTGGACCCAACTGCACACTGAATTGATTAGGAGACCAAGAAAAAGTGGAAAAGGACAAAAGAGAGTGCGTGGGTGACACACGTTCCCTTACGAAATTGGGATAAAAAGTAAATTGCATTTGACTGTGGATACCACAATCCGTTCAATAAAATAAGAAAGCCGAGTTGCTTAGCGTTTGAGGTTTTATCTGCACAAATCACTATCCAACTTGCCCGGCTGCCCCCCTATCTCCCTCTATACCTAAAGGCTGCCTTGTCCCCATTCTAGATGCCCTTCATTTTGTCTTCTAAACCATTCATATAGGCGTATTCAATTATACTTTGTGCTTCGGCAAATCTCCATCTCCCAAGTCAATGTCATCACAGATGATTCATTAAGCACTTAATTAAGTTGAAAAAGCAATTAATCATCCTTTATGCTTTCTACCTTCGTTAGGGACAACTCAAGTTTAAAATCTGTTGTTATTCATACCGAGAAAAAAAATATCACTAAAAGATTTAGAAATGATTTTCGTGATGAAAGAAAAATATCATTAAATAATTTATAAATGATTATTAAAAGACAAAACTAGGAATGATCATCTCATACGAAACATCTTAAATGTTTTGCTTATACAATATGGCTTACCTT